TTGTTATTCCTCTGTAGCATCTGGTCCCCACTGGACCCTCATTATTTCCTTCACCTGCTCCCCCCACCGACCAAACTGTGCAGCTCTGCAACTGCATACTGGCCCATCCTCACCCTTCTGCCCCCAACCCTCACCTCCTTGTACCCCCAATATGTTTTTCCCAATAAAAAAATATATTAAAAAATTTAAAAAGAACCTCAATAAAATTCAATTTTAAAATTACTCAGTAAATGGACACTGTCATAGTTGCTTAGGGGAATGTAGATTAAAACAACCTGTCCAGAGAACAATTTGGCAATACATGGCAAACATATTTTAAAGTTATTTCTAAATTAGAAATTATACTTCTAAGAAGTATACTGCTTACTAAAAAAAAAAGTATACTGTTTCTAAGGTTCAAAGGCATGACCATGGAGCTTGATGGTGGGCAAGCTTCTTTTTAGCCATCTCTCTCAAGATGGAGGAGGAAGAAGAACTAAGGAGCCTTGAAGAGCTGGAGAACTGTATGAAATAATTAAAGAAATCTCACCAGCAGACCACGGAAACTAGAATATAAAATGACTATTGAAAAGCTCTCCTAATAAGGTTGAAAACTTGTTGTCCTAAGCCTTATAAAAGCTCAGCAAAGAAACAGACAGTCTGTTTCTCCTGAACTTTGATCAAGACAATGTTGTTGTTGCTACTGAATGAGTCAGAGCTAATTCATAATTGACGCTCCAGGGGTTTTCAGAGGCTGTAAATTGCATGCTAAGAGAATGTCCATCTTTCTTCTGAGTAGCAGCTGGTGGATTGGAACTACTCGCTTTTGAGTTGGCAGTGCAACTCCTTACCATTAAGGCACCAGAGTTCCCGTACGAATACAACAATGTTATTGTTGTTAGGTGACGTTATTGTTGTTAGGTGATGATGACTGACTCATAGCTGACCCTCAGCAGGTATTCAGTGTTCTCCCACAGAGCAACTGGTGGATTCAAATTTTGTGCCTTTGAGTTGGCAGCACAGCTCCTTACCACCAGGCCACCAGGGCTCCACTACCAATACAAAAGCACTCTGCAAATACCAAGCATTTCTTTCATTTCTAAAAAAAAAAAATCCATGTCTAGCCAGCAATGAAAGCACTCCCTCACCACCAAGACTTCTTTATGCCCTTATCATTCCTACTAGAGGACAGTAAATGTCACAGATGAATAATAGAATAAAAAGATTTTTATAAAGTCAAAGATTATTAAAGACTCAAAGGGAGAAAAGAGGCTGAGGAAAAATTACCTGTCTTTGGGGAACAAAAGACATATCCTTAGAGCTCAAAAATCTCAATTAAATCCTTAAACAGTAGAATCCAACAGTACATTAAAAAAAAAATATTCACCATGACCAAGTGGGATTCATGACAGGTATGCAAGGATGGTTCAACATAAGAAAAACAGTTAAGTGTAATTCATCACATTAACAAAGCAAAGAACAGGAACCACATGATCCTATCAATTGATGCAGAAAAGGCCTTTGACAAAACCCAACACATTTTCCTGATTAAAACACTCAACAAAATAGGATTAGAGGGGAATTTCTTCAACATAGTAAAAAGTATATATGCAAAACCAAGAGCCAACATTGTTCTCAATGGAGAGAGTTTAAAGGTATTCCCTTTGAGAACAGGGAACTAAGCAAGGATCCCCACTATCACCTCTCTTATTCAATACTGTATTGGAAGTCCTAGCAATAAGACAAGAGAAGGAAATAAGAGGTATCCAAATTGGCAAGTAGGAGGTAAATTATCTCTATATGTAGATGGTATGATAGTATACTTAGAAAACCTTAAGAATTCGGCAAGAAAATACTGGACATAGTCGAACAATTCCGCAACATGGCAAGATACAAGGTCAACTTACAAAAAATCAACTGGATTTCTCTACAGTGACAAAGAAAATGCAGAAATGGAGCTAAGGAAAAAAAACCTATTCAAAGAAAATTACTACAAGAAACAGAGAGACCTGAAGAAATGGAAGAATATCCCATGCTCATAGATTAGGAAGACTCAATATCGTGAAAATGACAATTTTACCAAAGGCAATCTACAAATCCAGTGCAATCACAATACAAATACCAATTCCATTCTTCAATGAGATGGAAAAGGCAATCTGCAATTTCATCTGGAATGGAAAGAGACCCCAAATAAGTACAACACTCATGGAAAAGAGAAACAAGGTAGGAGGCATCTCCCTTCCTGATTTCAAATCCTACTACACAGCCATGGTGGTCAAGACAGCATGGTACTGGTACAGTGACAGACACATATATCAAAGGAATAAAACTGAGAACCCAGAAATCAGCTCATCTATCTTTGGTCAACTGATTTTTGACAAGGAGATGAAATCAGTTAACTGGGGAAATGGAAGCCTCTTTAACAAATGGTGCTAACAAAATTAGAAAACTATCCGTAGAAAATGCAAGACCCATACCTCACATCATACACACACACAAAAAAAAAACAAACACAAAGTAGATTAAGAAATTAGTAGGATATTCATTTTCTCCTGGACACAGAGCCTACTAATTGGTCCTAAAAGCCTTCTGAGCTCCCAACTCTAACCTCTACACTATAATAGACAAAGTGCTAGTCTATAGGCCTTTTATTGTAAGAACCACCTTCCCTCTGTAACTTGATTTGTGCCACTATTA